AAAATAAGTAGTATTTACTTATAAGGAAAAATGAGATTATATGAATAGATAGTATTGGTAGAGCACATAAGACTACATGTCTATGCTTTAATGTAATAAAGTAAAATAAGTCTAAGGATATTGAAGTATGTGAGATATGAAAATGAAATCATATGAGAAATGACATGAATTACACGAAAAATAAACTACTTGATTACATGTATGTGTGAAATATATGGAAGTGAACTACATGATTATGTGATCATATGAGAATGAGATAAAGAGCTATGTGAAAGTACTATGTGATAAGTGTAAAAACTAATGCCCATGTTATGTGTTGTGAGAGCTAGGGTATAGTTGGCATGCCAAGAGTCGAGGGTTCATAGGTCCTTCAGGACATACAGAGGTCCTTCGGGACATACATAGGTCATTCGGGACAAATTTCACATGCCCCTAGTGGGACCCCAAACAAGCTGTGGTGACAACATAGTGCACAACCTCAATGTACTCAAATATCTTTAGTTCTCACATATGTACATGGGCTAACAAAGAGATAACATATGTTGTATATGTTTTTGTGATAAGAATTGTATTATATGATTTATACGATGATGTGTGTATTGCTTGGTTAAATGAATCATGTGTTGATTAAAAAAGGTTACGTATAAGAGGATATGATTATAAGATATAAATGATAATAAGGATTGTGATGGAAACAATGTGTGATATGTATATGTATATGTGTACATTACATTATATTTAATGTTATATTGTCTTGTGTGGCATCATGAGATGATATGTTCATGCATGTTTAAATAGCTAGAGTTTCTCTTATAAGTTTTAATGCCTCACTAAGTCATAGACTTAGTGTGTGAGTGTTTCACACGTAGGTTCCGGAAAGCTAGAAGAGAAGCGAAGTGGAGCAAGATATGTCAGATCCTCTTTTCCACAGATCAGATCAGAATTGTAGTTGAGTATATGTATTTTGTTATATAGAGTGTAGTTGGCATGTAGTCTAAAGATATAAATTGTATAAGCTCTGATATGTTTTGTAAAACTAAATTGATTTTAAATGAATGGAAATCAATCATTTTCTTAAACTATGAATTTTATTTTAGTCATTTTTTAAAGAAGAAAAAGTTTGAAAACTCAATGTGACACCTCGGACTCGGATCCAGGTCGGATACGGGTTGGGGGTGTTACACCTTACCCATCCTGCATCTGTCTGCCCCGCATCACTTCGCTCTGCATCCATCCGCTCACTATCCACCATATAATTTTTGGATCATTATGAATTTAGGTATAATTCTAGATACTATTCTGTAAATCTCAAGACTTTATAGAACATGACTTGTAATTTAACCAAATGTTAGGGTATAAACATTTTTATGACGATGTTTGTTATTTATGTTTCTACACTTTAATTATGTCTTTTATTATGGTATTTTATGTACTAAGACATTGGTTTATTTTGAAATCTATGTTAATCTTTAACTCAGTTAATCCTTCATTTATTTTATTATGTTTTTTAATGATCATGTTTGCTTTATGTTTTCTTCTTATGTAATTTATGAGGTTGTTGTTATGTGGATATAGGCGGGTACAGACGGGTACGAGATGACTGATGGGTATCCAGTTGGGTAGTGGTTGTGGGGATAGATTTGAGAATGTATTCGCGAGGACGGTTATGAATTTAACAATTTACATGTCGTGGATGGTGGGCAGATGGTGGATACAAAAATATTAGGTGGATATTAAGATAGGGGAAGAGGTATCCGCACCCACTCCACCCGTTTGCCATCCTTAATTAAGGGCAAGTGACTTAATTGACATCATTTAAATAATTAAGTAGTCTATTTAACAAAATCGAAAGATCAATGATAAAAATAAAAGAACAAAATAGTTCAGTGATCAATGATATAATTTAGCCCAACTTTTATTATCATTTCACCAGGGATGAACTTATGGCGTTGATGGGCGTTTCCACGTAGATGTGATTTTTTTTACGTGATTGGTCATTTGATAATATTTTTTTTAATGTGGTTCATAGTTAAAATGAAAAATAATAAATGAAAATCATACCGAGTTCATTTAAAAAGAAATATTACACAATATATATTAAAGACAGGTAATTAAATAAGCATAAGTCGATCTATAATGACGTATATGTATATATATATAGATTTTGTTTTCAATCAGTCAATAAATATATATATATATATAAACTATTTTTAAACACTTCAAAATTCTACATATAAATAATGTGATTTTTTAAAAATAAAAATCACAAATTGTTTATATATGGGGTTTTAAAGTGATTAAGTATAGTTTTCTACGCATGTACTAATTGAGTTATTGAAGACAAGATTTGTACATGAATGTTATCGATGTTAGCTGGCATATAATTGTGTAGTTACATGTCTGAGAGAGGTAAATTTGCCATTTTAACTATGATCTCTTTATTCATATATATAAATCTTAATTCTAATCTTACCCACAGGAGAGGGGAAGGGAGAGAAAGAGAGGTTGTAAGAGAACAAAGGGGTGCTCTTAGTGGCATATGACCTAAAGGAATAAATGGAAACAAAGATGAGCAGGATGACTAACCGATCAAATGTATTTACTCTTTACTAACAAAATATATATCTTTATGAACTAATAAATGTAACTAATATATTTTTTTTAATAATCTGGGATGATTATAAGGTAATCAGTTGTTAAAAATCTTTCATAGTCATTGACAACACACACCTTATAGACATAATTGTTTGAACTCTTTTAAACATGAAGTGAATTAATAAGTTCATATAACTAATATCTTTAATCTATTAATTATTTTTAGAATACTCACAATCCATCGATTATAACTATTAAAATATTATAAAAATTGTAAAAAAAATCCAACGGTAATATTAAAATAAACATAAATATAAAAGCGACGGTGAATTTGACCCCGAAACAGGATTAGAAATACGTTATTTTTTAACTGGTTTCTTTTATGATTGTGAATAAGTTTTATGTTGTAGAAGTAGATGAGTCTACTATAGGCTTGTTTTTTGTGTTCTATATGTGACTGGTGTAATTAATTTGTTAGTTGTAGGGTGGTTTTTGTTCGTAGGGAGGCCAATAGAGTGGCTCATATTTTAGTTAGGTGAGCCCTCTCACACCATTGAGCCTTTTTCTTTGATTCGATTTATCCAAATTTTATCGCAACATATGTAACAAACGATATGAGTTTCTACTCTTTCCTTTATAGGACCTCAATTTTGTGTTGATAGAATGGCTTTTTAATGAGGCACATTTTTTTATAAAAAAAGACAACAAAAATCAGTCAAAGTAAAAATATGTACTCAACTATGTATTTTCTTTGTTTTAAGTATCTAAACTATTTTTTGATCAAATTAAATACTTAAATTATTATTTTTAAACATTTTAAGTCTTATCATTTTTTTAATTAGAAAAATAATTTTTGACCAGTAAGATGTTGACACTTCACACAAAATTAGGTACTTATTTTGAAAAAAAAAATTAGAAGCTTAAAGCAAAAAAAAAAAAATAGTCGTGATTTAAGGAATTATTTTGACCCAAAAATAGTTTAAATACTTGAAGTGATTACCTATAATAGTTTAATAACTTAGTTTGATAAAAAAAAAATAAGTACTTAAAAAAAAGCATAATTTGAGTACCTATTTTTAGTTTAAGCCTTAAAATCATAATGTGAGAACGGTAAACCAATGGAAAAGATACATGCAAGCACCTAACAAAACAAGGTGGCCTTGATTTTTAAGATTTCTGATGTTTCATTCGTACACATATTTCAAAACATGTTAATTTTATCATAGAAGCAAGGACAAGCATGATAATTATTTTGAGGAAAAGAAAGAATAAGATATACTCAAAGTTCAACTGCATAGACCACTTTAATAATGGCAAAGACAACGTAGAAGCGACGTTTTTTAAAAGAGAATTTTAAATGGATTTATTGAATAAAGTAGTTTTTAAATACTAATTAAATAATAATGTAAAATGTATTTAGTTAGTTGACACTTTTTATAGAAATTAATAGATTAAATGTGTTTTGGTTATGAATTTTATCTCTTTATTCTGTAATTAGTTTATCAACTTTAATTTATTAGAATTTGATTTCAATATTTTATGAAAAATACGCGCATGAACTTAAACTGCTCTTTTCTTTTTAATCTCTTACATTAATTATTGAATTACTAATTTTTATTATCCAATTGAACTACATTTTCATTTATCGTAATATTGAAATTCTAATTTATTTATTTTTAAATAGAGAGATTGATTTTTTATTTTTATAATACAGAAGGATAAAATCCATAACTTAAAAGCTCATCAATTAAAAACATCAAAATCTAACCAATATTTTAACAAAATAAAGCTTCCCTATCAATTCAGTGAACTTCTAGTCTATCAATTACGGATTGGATGTTAAATATTACATTCAAAGAAAACACAGCAGTACAATATTGACCAAAATAAACTAAGGTACAGCACATGGCTTTCGTAGGATTCAAAGAAAACACAGCAGTACAATATTGACCAAAATAAACTAAGGTACAGCACATGGCTTTTCGTAGGAGGACAAAGAACAACCAAGGCAGTTAGAAAATATTGCAGCTAACTTTGACCATAAGCTTATCTAAATTACTATTAGGATCAAAGGCGGCCGAAATCTTATATGCTTATCATGCGCAACTATTATCTAATAAAACTGACATTGTTTTCTTATGAATTACGAGTCAGAAATATATGCATGAAAACTGGACCAATTTCTTTTGGCTCGAATTAATTGCTACTTTTATTTTTAAAATGACGATTTGAAAAGTAGAAATAATAATAACAATAATAAAACCATGTAAGAGAAACGCGGAATACATTGATAATAAAAGAACAATCAACACCCAGGCAAAATGAAAACTTTCTGGGCATCTTTAAAATTTCTTGCCCACCGCATTCAAATATTTTGATCAGCCTTGAACACATGAAAGAAAGGAGTCACTTCTTAACTCGGAAAGAGAGATACCCTTGGAGTATGAAGAAGGGAAAAATCATGGCTGCCTTTTGGGACGGGGCAAGAGAGCAAGAAGAATCTTTTTCCTAGGGCCCTGCAAATCAAACAGGGACACCATTCAAAATCATTCATTGCCTACATCATATTGATCAGAATTCAAGTAAAAGACCCAGAATTCAACTAAATTGAAGCTCATGAAGAAAGTCTGATACTTATCATCAGAATTATACGTGTCTATATGCCAATCAGTTATTCGTTTCAGCACCAGTTATGAAAACGAAGAACAAAATTTTAACAATTAATAATACAGGTACAGAAAAAGAACCATAGGTATTCCTAGCTCTTTAAGGTCATTTTCCCCCATCTGCTTCAGTGCAGTCATGTCCACCTGAGTTAAATATCATATCGACAGATCAGCTGAACATGGAGAATACAGATCAAAACACAAAACAAGCAATTTTCAAATCAGGATCAAAATATAGGTCCATGATATTTCAGTAACTTAAGCAATTTGAACAATTGCAGCAACTTCAAGATATTTTTCTACATACAACAATCCGTTTAGAAACATTAGAAACCAAATGTCTTGAAGATACTTAGCATTGGTTTATAAGACATTCACAAGTTTGACAACATTAACAAATATTGCAACCATTTCAAACAGACCAAACATTTCCGAGATTTATTAGAGTATTTTTGTATTTTATTTAAAGTAACATCGATAAAATATGTACCTACATCTATGTAGCATAGTACCCACATATAAACATTTTTTGTTGTCCTTCTACTACTTAATTAAAATCCTCCACCCCTTTCTGTCTCTTTAGGGAGAGGGCTGTTGATCGGGAATGGGGAGGGAATTGAGGGCACATGAATCATCCTTTTTTATCTTCTAAATATAAGAGGAACTCATAAAGATGGCTACATGATAAGATGTAATCTATGAAGAAAAAAACATAGCAAGCAACAAATTCCTAAGAAGAAATAACATAGCAAATGAATACACATCTTTTTCATAGCTGAATAGTCTTCCAAAGCATCTCAGAACACCTTTTATCTTTCAAAAAAGAAAACAATTTATCCTTAGAAACTAAGGATCTAGATTACTTACTTCTTCCTTGAAAGTAATCCCATACTTTCCCAGCCCCAGTGAATGCAGCAAGCCTTCAACAGTTTGTTGCTCAACACCCTATACAGCAGCCACCCAAAATGAAGGGGAAAAGAATAGTAAGAAAATCCATCTAAGGGTCTGTTTGTTTGGGGATTGGTTTTCCTTGAAATCCCGTGTTTGTTTCACGTAATTCGTTTTCCGGAAAATGTTTTTCAGTGTTTGGTTAGAGGAAAACTGGTTGGTCAACGTAAAACCTTTTTTTGGTCAACAGAATTTCCTGTGTTTTCTGAAAAATGACTTACGGTCTGATTTTTCGTAAGTCATTTTCCAAACTTTTCACTTCAAAGAATAAATACTCAAAATAATTTTATTTTATGAATTTAATATTAGTAAAATATTTTAATATCATTTTAATCAAAATATTAATTTTTAAAATATTAAAAATCTATTTATTAATATTTCTAATAATATAATATTATATTTTTAATATTATAATAAAATAATCAATTATATTATAATAATATAAGATATTATATTTTTTATTTAATAATATATAATAAATTATTAATAAATTTATACTATTATTAATTTCATAGAAATATATTATTAAATTATTAATAATGAATAATATTATTAATTATTAATAATGAATAATTATTTATATTTATATTAATATAATAATCTATAATATTTTAATAAAGAAATTTAAATACTAATTAATTTTTTAAAATATAATATACCCTATTACTTTAATAAATAATTAATAATAATTTATAATATTTTTATTTCAATAAATATACCAATATTAATATTTTTATTAATAACATTATAAAATAATATTTAATAATAAATAAATATTTTAATATTTTAAAAATAATAATATTAAGTTTTATGATAAATAATATTATTTATTGTATTTAATATTTGTAATAAATAATTTTTAAAAAACTCATCAACTAGTAGAAAAAATGTTTAAACATCTTTCAAACATCGTAAAACGTTTTCCAGATTTTTTTCAAAAAAATAGAATTCGTTTTACGAAAAACATTTTCCGGAAAACGTTTTCCATAAATGTAATTCATTTTCCAGAATTTCAAATTTCAGTAATTCATTTTCAGAATTCAATTTCCAAAAAACCAATTACATCCAAACAAACACACCCTAAATGCCATTTTATAAATCAAGGTACACAACTATTTTAAAGAAATTATTTGGGACCACACAAATACTAGTTTTTATGCACGAGCTATAAGGCAAACAACATTGAACACTCAACAAGTTACTAGATTCTTATCTACCTCAGATAGAGATATTTTGAGTCTTGACTTTCCTAGCATAGTGGTCTGAGAATAAGATTAACAAATTTTTTGGACCGTTTGAATGATGAAAACATGGTAAAGTATATACCAAGTACACCATGAGTTATACGGTAAGAAACAAGCTGAATTCATGAACATAAGCAGATGTTCACAAGAAAATATAATCAGAAAAATAGATGTAAACCACGATAGTTGCACCATTTCACTACTAGAACAGAAAGTAGGTGGCAAATCGTATGTACCGCAAAGGAAGGTTTTTGTACAATACTACTTGGAGGAATTGGAACTGGAATTTGGGGGCCTAGTGGAATGGGCTTTGCTGAAGTGGTTGGCAATCTAGACTTCGTAACAAAAGATGTTGTACTCACGGGCCCTGGAGCATCAAAAATATCTTTTCCCATGTATGAAACTGCTCTGACATCATCATATGTCTTGTTTACTTGCCTTCTCTGAATCTCTCCAGCATTTTTTGGGGAGATACCCCTAGAAGTACCCATTACTCTATCTGGAGAGCACTGTCTTAAATGATCTAAAGTCCAACGAGAATATGGACTTCTTGAAGTGGAAACACGAGGAAAATCGTTTGCACTTCTTGTGGAAGGAATTCTGCCCGGGATGCTAGTTTCTCTAGAGTCTGGCACTCTCTCCCTCGGTTCAGGTATTCGCTCCCTAGAATCAGGCATTTGATGTGTCCCATAAGGCATAAGTTGAGCGAAGATTTTGTCTGTGGAAAAGTTTTGTAACACAGTTCATAGACCAGGATAACAAAGATTTTGCAACACAGAGGCATAAGTTTGTTACCATTCAAGCCATTGGCATTCAAGCTTGTAGTATAACCATCAATTCTTTGTCTGTGGAAAAGTCAAACCAGCACAATAACTTTTTTACACAAGTAAACTTCACTGATAAGCTAATAGGGCGAAAGTTTACAAACATAGAAAATAAAAGCCAGAGGCAGGGCAATGAATTACTTTTCATGGCCTATAGAGCTGCGATTTATTTTGTTTTAGAGAATCCTTATCAAACAAATATCCAACAGTTGAAGTGGAAACAGGATGCTTTCCTGAATTCCATATTATTACAAATAATGTTGAACGAAAAAGGAAACTAAACACATTAATGTCTACTAGGCAGTGTCAAGTCCAGGCAACCCATATAATTGAATACATTGTTTTAGTCTAAAAGAATCCCTAAACTATGCGGTATAATTTGCAAGCTCCATATGCTACAATACAACATTATCACTATCGTCCACAAGGAAATACAGAAAACTACTTAAATTGACATTGCACAGGCACCAATGTAGCAAACTAAGATTTAGAAATGTTGATAAAACAGCAAAATTCTTAAAAGCGTACCGTTTGTTGTTCAGCTGACTTCCTTGCAACAAAGAACCATCTACATTGCTACCCAACCCATCCCTTACAGACCGCTTACTTCCAGAAACATGATGAGAATCAGAAAAATCACCACTGGATGTATGTCCAGCCCATTTCACCTACACCAACATAATCAATAAAGTTCAACAAGCCAACAAAAGAATTAGGGGAACTACACCAACAATATTTTTTGGGAAGAAAAAGCTTAAATACTTTAATGAATAATAAGGAGAAATCTACCAAGCAACAGTAAATAGTTCTAAATGAAATTGGATAAAATTTATGCTCAGCATATATCCTAAATTTGACCAGCAACCAGGCAAACAATTAAGCAAAATCACCAAAAATTACTAAAAGAAAAAAGGAATAAATATTAAGAATAAATAAAGTAAAAAAAATACCTGGCCAGTACGACCGAGAGTAATAGTAACACGACCCCGCGAGGCTTCTGCCATGAAGAAACCCTAGACAAGTTAAAGATCGATTACACGGTTCTTTCGGTAATGAATTCTGAAAGATAAACAAGTAAAGGCCGCCGTTTTAAGAATAACGAATATGGGACGTCCATCAACTATTTTGCCCTATTATTTGAGGGGGTTTTTTCGATTTTAAGGCTTCACACTCGTTAATTCAGACCGATTCATATCGTACATCTAATTTTATATATACACAAAAATTCACATTCGATGTTTTACTTAAACGGTATCAAACTATTTACCACTTAATCAATTATAATTTATTTTAAATCTTATTCTACAAAATTTAAAGGGTAAATGATGTTATTTTAATCACTCAATTATTATTTTAATTTTGGTTTGGTTATTTAACTAGGTAAATTTGATAAGATAATATGGTAAAGAAAAAAATGACTCGAGATGTTCAAGAGATTATTTTCTCATTCAGTGTGAAATAAATAGTAGATGAGGGAAAACGTCGAGAAAACATGACATATTCCTCATGTTGCATGAATTTTGAACGTTAAGCCTAACAGAGTAATAAGATAAAAGAAGTCGAGTGATTCATACGTATTTTAAAAAACACTAAGTGAAACACAATAGTAGATAGTCTATTCCAACAAAGAATTTTTTTCAAACACTCTAAATCCACTTGACACCCCAAAAGCTTTTAATTTTTTTGTCCATATATATATATAATAAGTGTCTAAACTACATTCAAAACTAATTTTTGGTGTTTAAAAAAATTTTCGTTAAAAATAGGTGTCTAAAGTTTTATCTGCTACACTTTAGGTGCCTACCGTTAAAAAAATTGTTAAGTAACACGTATCATGTCCAGATTTAAAAAAAATAATTTTAAATAATATTTATTTTTAAAAATATATAAACGTAACACGTGTCACTTAATTTTTTTTAATGGAATGCTCCTAAAAATATAATTAATAAAACTTTATGCACCTATTTTTAACAAATTATTTTAAACATTAAAATGTTTTTTTAAACATTAAAATACTTTTCGATGCATTCTTTATATACTTGTTTTTGTATTAAAATATATATATATATATATATATATATATATATATATATATCTTAGAAAAGATTTGACACCCTTTAAAAAAGAAATTGACATCACTTTTTAAAAAAATATATTTAACAATAAAAATTTAAAAACACAACTTTCACCCTTAAATTTTTTCATATAGTTTCTATATTTGACACCTCGAAACAATTTTTTTTAGCTATGTATCCGTCTAATAACCAATTTTATTTAATATAATATTTGGACAATTTGAACCATTTAACCATTTTAAAAAAACATATATAATATTATGTTTAATTTCATTTTGATCATCTATATATAAAAAATTAATAAAAGTGTTTACGTGATATTTTTAATTTTTTAATAATAATGAGATAATTTTTTTTATTTTTTTAATGAATATTTGACATAATGATAACCCGTAAAAGAGTTATGTTTTGTGCCTTTTCACTTTGGTTATTGATTGTTTTAAAGTACATTTAGATGCATATAGTTGCATTTAGACCTATATAGTTGCAAGTGGTGGTATTGTTTTGCTACATCATTTTATTTTGAAAATTAGTGATGCTTAATGGGGAAGGTTGTGTTTTGTTGATGATGTGCAGATGAATGAGCCAAAAAATAGTGAGGAGATTCGTTGTAGCATACTGATCGAGGAGACATTGGAAGAATATTGTAGTATTTTAGACGAAATTTCTAGGCGTAAAAAAAGGACAAAAGAGCTGAAGATATTTTTATGAAAGATGCTAACTGTCCAGCCTACACGTGATCCCTCCTACCAGCTGCCCGTGTGATTCCCACTGCCAGTCTTACCTGTCCCTTCATGTGAAGGGAATGTTACCTATAATTAAATAGAGCTTTTGGGAATATGAGATAAGAGAGACAGGAAAAGAAGGCTACAAAATTCTCCATTTTATTTCATTTTCTTCCTCCTTTCGTGGTGTCCTCCATAGCCAAACTTCAAGGGAATAACAAGCTAGGCCTTTGAGAGAAGCTAGCTTGCTAAGGTTGTTCGTGGTGGTTCAAGGAAACTCACGATAGCTCGCGTGTTTGAGAGTTTCTTCTTTCCTCTGTGCTTTCATTTTATTTCTCTTGTGGGTAGGAGTGAGCGTTCGATCGAGTCGGGTCAAAATTTTTGAGTTATTCAAGTTAACGAGTCTTATTTTCCAACTAGGAGTTGACTTAAATTTGTTTTTGAGTTGAGTCGAGTCTAGTCGAATTTTCAAGTTTGTGTTCAAATTTAATTATCATTATTTATAATAGAGAAAATAACCTCAGTGACCAAAAATGCCTTATAATATACGATTTTAACCAACTCTTTTTGGATTTTCCAAAATGACCAACTAAATCGCAATGCGATCGATAATTCGCAACGCGATCTCCGGTATCGCAAATCAGTTTTCAGATTCGCAACGCGAACTTCGACTATCGCATTGCGATTTACATATTCGTATTGCGATAGTCCAAGTTCGCGTTGCGATTTATTCCAAGTTCGTTGCGATAGTCAAAGTTCGCATTGCGATTTATTCTAAATTCGTTGCAATTTATTCCAAGTTCGCGTTGCGATTTATTCCAAATTCGTTGCGATAGTCGAAGTTCGCGTTGCGATTTATTCCAAATTCGTTGCGATAGTCCAAAATCGCAACGACGGTATTGCATTTGTTTCTTAAGAATTTTCTTTAAAAAGATAGTATTCGCGCGGACATGTCGAAGACACGTATTACCACGACCACGACCACGACCCCGACCCGACCCGACCCGAGACGAGACGAGACGAGTCGGACGGCAGCGGCAACGGCGCGCGAGAGTCCCCCTTGTTCTCTATCACTCAACAAGGAAGTGGGAAAGCCAAGCCTTAAATACCATTCCCAATAGTGTTTCCAATACTATGTGGGATTGAGCATTACCAACACTTGTTTCCAATACTATGTGGGATTGATCCTTAAATAGTGATATTATTTTTGAATATTTTGCTTAAAATTGCAATAATCGCGATTGATTGTAGATTAACATTTAATTATGACATATTTAATCGTATAATACTAATGCAATTAGTTACTGATTCAGTTGTTTTAAGGTGCATGATTGTTAATTGTTTCCTGAATAATCACATTGTATTAGAAACAAGTGTTGGTAATGCTCAATCCCACATAATATTGGAAACACTATTGGGAATGGTATTTAAGGCTTGGCTTTCCCACTTCCTTGTTGAGTGATAGAGAACAAGGGGGACTCTCGCGCGCCGCCGCCGCCGCCGTCCGTCTCGTCTCGGGTCGGGTCGGGTCGGGTCGTGGTCGTGGTAATACGTGTCTTCGACTCGTCCACGTGAATACTATCTTTTTAGAGAAAATTATTAAGAAACAGATGCAATACCACCAGTCGTTGCGATTTTGGACTATCGCAATGTGAACTTGGACTATCGCAATGCGAACTTCGACTATCGCAATGCGAACTTGGACTATCGCAATACGAATATGTAAATCGCAATGCGATAGTCGAAGTTCGCATTGAGATAGTCGACTATCGCATTGCGATTTACATATTCGCATTGCGATAGTCCAAGTTCGCATTGCGATAGTCCAAGTTCGCATTGCGATAGTCGAAGTTCGCGTTGCGAATCTGGAAACTGATTTGCGATGCCAGAGATCGCGTTGCGAATTATCGATCGCATTGCGATTTAGTTGGTCATTTTGGCAAATCCAAAAAAAGTTGGTTAAAATCGTATATTATAAGGCATTTTTGGTCAATGAGGTTATTTTCTCTTTATAATATTATGATATTATTTCATTTCAATTTAAATTGTTTTTTATGATCATATATATATATATATAACAATACATTCTTTTGTGTTTTTTTATAAAAAAAAATACAATACATGTATATTTCTTTCATATGTGATATATATATATCATATATAATTATGAGACTCGACTCAAACTTAAAAATCCATCCACTAATTACTAAAAATTTTGAGTTATTTGAGTTGTATTTTACAAATCGATTTGAACTTGAAATTTTTTTAAGTCCAGTCGAGTTTATAAAATTACAACTCGAAGTCATTTCGAGTCAAGTTTTTTCGAATCGAGTCGAAAAATTGCTTTTTTGAGTCGAGTCGAGTTTTGCTCACCCCTACTTGTGGTTTATAATGGAATGAATTATTTTAGTGGATGATTTGTGTCCCATCATGAACTAACTTATTTGGTATGGGTTATTTTGGATTATTATGTGTTTGTTGAAATGAATGGTTTATATTTTCATGTTATATATTTTCTTTGTTCATTGTATTTTTTTTAATTAGGATTATAAGAGCTTTCCAGAGTTAGCCATTTTCTAAGTTTGATGCCTAATATCGAGAGAGTTAAGTGAGATCAATGCGAGCAATAGGGCCGAGCTAGGCAGCAAAACCCTAATCCACCTTAGAGATAAGGAGAGGATTTCAACGACTAAAAGTAGGACATAGTCGATAGGATGTTGCTGCAGTTAACGCTAAGAGGCATTACCATAACATTTTACTACCAGGTTCCTTACTAAAGATAGCCTAGTAACACTTTTAGCAAACTCCGTCGAGCAGTATTGCATAAAAGGCATGAACTATTCTAGAAGACAAGACATAAGATTTTTTAGTAACCCTACCATTTATCCCCATTATAACTTAATTATGTGAGGTTGTTAGTGTTGAAAACATTTTGATGTTTCGATATAACAAATAAAGTACTATTGAATTTTAAGATTTTATATTCGATTCAAAATTATATATCAAAAATATTACTCCAAGTTTTCAAATGTCAATTTTAATCCTTACTTAAGTGTAAAATTGTGTTTTCATCTTAAAATATTTTGAAACAATTTTTGCAAAATATTTCGAACATTAATCAAGCCAAAAATTAATTTTACAAGGGAGGTATCGATATACTCCTTGGATGTACCGATATACCCCTATTTCGAATGGAATAAGGGAATTGATACATAGTCAATGTACCGATACACTCCAAGCTCTGAGAAACATCAAATGAAATTAGTGT